TAGACACCTCCATGCTAAATCAAGCCAAGATTGTAGCCAGCAGAAGTGTCAAAAGGTATAGACCTTGGCCTTGTTTCTGGTCAAAGTTACTACTGAGGAACCTATATACAAAGGTAATCCCACTTCTCCTCAAGGTCTAGGACTCTAATTCCCACTAATAAAGTGCCCCCACAGCCCCAAACCAAAACTGTATTTAATATGGCTACAGAATGCAGTATCTCAAAGTGCTTCACAGAAGCAACTGAAACCTCTAAATTAAACACAGGCCTCAGAAGAATTTCACATATGAAGTTCCAAAGAATGTAAGCTTGTAACAACAGCAAAAAATTTTTAAAAGTCCTACTAACCACAGGAATAAGCACTTCCGGAGGAATTCTGTAAGGATACCTAACTTAAAACTGAAAAATAACCTCCTGCTGAATACAACTAGATTCTAGATATATACCTATTTTAAGCACATTTCTGAACTCACATCAAAAGGGGGTGGACAACTCCCAGAGGTTCCCATCCTCCATGCCCCAAGGGGGGAAAAAGGGCCCAGACGTGAGATCAGAGGATTGCAGTCTACCAGGCCACAGGAAGAGGGTCCCAGGAAGCAAAAGCCGGTACTAGCTGTGCAACCAGGAAACTGAGTGAGCCCTGAGCAAGCATCAAGTTTGGGGAGCTAAACCCAAAACTCCTGTTTTCAAGCGAGGGGTTCATGAAGGGAGCAATGTGGTCTCAGACCAGCAGCGCCCCCTGGCATCAGGCCGAGGCAATCACAATTTCTCTAAGGGAGGAAGGCGTCTCCTATTCAATCACTCTATCAAAAAGATAATGGGCCCAAAGCCTGCAAGGTTATAAAAGTTTTATTTTAAATTTCCCCAGACTAGAAATAATAAGATGTCCCTCAATAGGGGAATGGATAAGCTAACTGTAGTATATGCATACAATGGACTATTATACAGTAAAGAAATGAGCTATCAAGCTCCAAAAGAACATGAAAGAACCTAAAATACACATTTCTAAATCAAGGAAGACAGTCTAAAACAGTGGTATACTATATGATTCCACTTTATGACATCCTGAAAGCCGCAAGGCTGCAAAGACGGTAAAAAAGATCAGTGGTTGCCAGGGACCCAGGGGCTCAGCGGGGAGAGACGAGCAGGTGAAGCACAGCCAGCTGGTAGGGCAAGGGTATTATTCTGCAAGGCACTAAAGGAGCAGATATACGACATTATGCACTTGTCAAAGCCCCCAGAATTTACAACACAAAGAGCGAATCCTAAATAAACAATGGACTGCAGTGAATAAAAACATGCCAATATCAACTTGTCCATTAGAACAAATGTACCACAAGAATCCTAGATGCTAATAACAGAGGGGAAGGACAGCAGAGGAAATATGTGAGGGCTCTGAACCTCCTGTGAAAATTTTCTCTAAGCTGATATCTGCTCTACAGTCCATTCAAAAAGGACATGAATTCAAGACGATAGATAATCAAAGATGACCAGAAATATAATGAAATGAGGATCATAAATGCGAATCAGGAAATTCACAAGTACTTCAGGTGCTGGTAGTATTATATACAGGCTATAAAATAGCCATATGGAATCACAGAAATTAAAAAGCATAAAACAGGATTAAAATGACCAAATAGATGTGAATGGTAATCAAATTTCAGGTATGAAATAGTGCAATGGTAAAGTTTAAAATTCAACTGGTGGAGTAAACTGTTTAAATAGCAAAGCTCAAGAGAGACTTGGGTAAGTATGAAGAAATTATTCAACATATTAAACTGGGCATGGTGGTGCAAGCCTGTCATCCCAGTACGTGGGAGACTGAGGCAGGAGGATCACTGCGAATTTGAGACTGCCCTGGGTTACATAGTGAGTTCAAAGTTAGGCAGAACTACATAGCAAGACCCTGTCTCTAAAGAAGAAAGGAAGGAAGGAAGGAAGGAAGGAAGGAAGGAAGGAAGGAAGGAAGGAAGGAAAGGAAGGAAAGAAGGAAGGAAAGAAGGAAGGAAAGAAGGAAGAAGACAGGAAGGAAGGAAGGAAGGTTATTCAATATATAAATAGAACAAAGTCACGTGTACGAAAACTTTGAGAAGAAAATTGATGCATATTCTACAGTAACATTCTACTAACAGACATACTAAGGAGGTTTAATATACACCCAGATGAAGTTTCAAAATTAAAACACAACTGTTCAACACACAACAGACTTCTCCACAATAACAACAGAAGCCAGAAGACAAGGAACAATAAATATCCTCACAAGTGTGAAAAATATAACTCTCAATTAATGAGTTCCATTCTGCAGTAAAAATAATAATCACAATAAGATTTATTAGATGTAAATGTATCTACATCTAACAAAATAGTTTCCAAATGTGTAAAGAAGAAATTAAAAACTAGGGATGTAACTCAGTAGTAGAACACTTGCCTAGCATGTGTGAGACATTATTATTCTACTAATCTCTAGGTTGACGTTTTGGACTTTTGAAAATTTAATGATGTAACTTTCCTCTAAGGAGCTGTTTACACTTCCTCACTGAAATCACATTAACTGACACACTTACTACATTGCACAAGATTTGTTCACTTAATCCTTACAGCAATTTGAGCTAAGGATCATTATTATGTCCATTTTATAGACAACAAAAATACAACTCAGAGAAGGAAAACAAGTTGCTCCAAGTCACACTAAAGAGGCAAATCTGGCGTGTCTGATTCCTAAATCTTTGCCATTAATCACATACACACTGTCATCTCTAGGCTGCATATTATTAACCAACGCTCAGTATTTATTTCCATCCTCCGGGTCCCCCTGACTGCTCTCCCAGAATCCCCTGCAGCGAGAGTTCTCAATTCAATTCAGCTTCTGCAATCACATGACCGCTAGTGGAATGTGGTTGCCAGGAGAAAAGGAAAGCACATCTCTTCTGGGACTCTAAGGGGCAAAAAGAAAATTCCAATAGATGGGATTGTTTCCCGTGAATTCCATGGTCTGTTATCTTGCCGCATGCTTTTGAAGTGTGCAGCAGATGGTGGCTCAGCCAGAGCAACTCCTTGACCTCTGAGTTGTTGCTGCGATTGTTTGACCTTGAAATCAATAGTCCATAGGCAACCTCCAGCCTGGACGCCTCTAGACCTTGCAAATACTTAGTTCTTTTTGTTAAATCACTTCCTCCATGAAGTACACAACCTTTCCTGAACTCAACAAATAAATACCAGCTTGATGGAATTCTATTCACCTGAAGACCTTAGAAAATTATGAATATAACCCACACGTGACATAGTTTCATCTTTAGAGTATCGTCAGCCAAACCACTTGTTCCTCTGATTTCTTACATAAACACAAAATGCATGCAAGACTTCTAGAAGGATGCCTTGAGTGATAGAAGCTCTGTATACTACTTTCCTTCTGTGCTCAGGAATTGCAGGATAGAGATCAACATTCTTCATGGGGCATCTCACCTATACTATTAGAAGATGTTTTTCTTCATTGCAAACCTTTACAAAGAACATACACTTTAAAAAAATGTTTTTGGAAAGGGAAGCAACACTATAGTTATTCATAAAATATGTATTTTCAAAATGAAGAGCTATTCTAACTCATGAAAGTATAATACATGCATTAATATCATTAAATATCATCTGAGGAAGTACAATCTCTCATTAAAGAACCTGAATCTTATCATCAAAAAGAGCTGGGTTCCAATTTCAGTTGAGTCACAGGGATAATGTGCATCGAAGAAGTGCTTGGGTTCTCTGACCTTCAGTTTATTCAGCCTTAGAAATGTGATGTCTACAGTGATCTCCAAAACTTATTATAACAATTTAAAAAGAGATTCTATGATGAAAACATCCACTGTGAAAGGCAGATGCAGTAATTACTAAATAAATGTTAAACTGTCTTGTATTTCTTAAATATGTTATGGAAAAAAATTATCCCCACCTGCAAACTATTCATAAAACAAATTTTCATGAAGTAGAAATTCCATATTTATACAAATATATTAGTGGGAAAGCTCCTATAAGACAATGTCAAAAAACATAGGTAACTAGTAATTAGTCCTCAGACAAGTATAGCTCACCAATTCAATTTCCCTTTGAATCTCTTCAGCATTTTAATTCCTCCTAGTCTACCACTCTTCGCTCCAAAATACAGCATTCTGAATACTACAACAAACATGAAAGCACATGGCAAGTATTCAAGAACCACTGGGTTCAACCGCCAGCATGATGGATGGATGGATGGTTGGATGGATGGATGGATGGATAGATTAGATAGATAGATAGATAGATAGATAGATAGATAGATAGATAGATAGGCACTGAAGAAATTTTATGCATTATCATTATGATGCTAGTACTTGTCTGCTTTTATTTAAGCATTACCACTAAAACACAGTTTCTAGAAATGGTCATAAGTAAGTAAGATGGGAAAAGAACAATAATTAACTGCTAAAGCAAATTCCAACACAACAAAGAACTGGAAATGGGCACCTTACTGTAGCTCTTCAGCCCAAACGTAAGTTCGCAGTGCTTTCATGTTAGCAATAAAGCACAGTGTCATCCCCTTTAGATATTTTGGTACATTATATGAGGATATGCCGTAGTGAATGAAATGATTTACAAGGTGACAATAAGTAGTGACAGTGAAGGATGACACTCAAAATGCCCTTGTCCCCATGAGTCTCAACTTAAGGTCATTTCCTGACTTCCTTCCCACTACCTGTCACTGTCCTGATTCCCAGATTACAGTATCCGCAGTGGAAATGAGAAAAGCAAAAAACTTCAGACGGGTGAGTTTCGAGGTAGTAACAACTGACAAGAATGAACCGAAGAGGCCCTGTAGAGAGCTCCCTAACTGAGCAACGAAAATGTGACGTTCTGTTGACTAGAGCCCATTTTTAATTCATGAACAACTTTGATTGTACAGTATATGGTTACAGAATATCTTACTTAAAATACGTAATTTGGATTATTTCAAAGTAGATCTTGGAAACGAACCTCATTTGGCTCTTCACCGCCTTTGACTTGATTTTCACCCATTTCTCCACTCTCATAGCTGCTATTCTTCTCAACCCACAACTCAGATTTCTCTACAGTCAGCCGAAGTTGGTCTAGATCTGCCTTGATTTGCTTGTAGTTATCTACATCTTGATTGGACACCAGTAATTGCACCTAAAAACAAAAGAATTTCAATCCTTAATGTATTTGTAGTACTTCTCTTATTCTTATTTCCTTTAGATATAAAATGCCAAGTCTTTAAACATTTCTTGATTGAAGTCAGTATTATGCTGACCATGAAAATTTACTCCGAAGTGTCTGTAAATTCCAACCAGTACATTCCACTGTTATAAAGAACTTTTTAAAAAATATATGCCATAGCCAGACTTTTCAAAGTACTAAAAAAGTAATTTAACATAAAAGATACCTTCACTCTAATTTCATCTTTGATACTAATTTTTATGAGACTCTTTGAAAACAGGTAGAAACATAAGTAGAAAACAGAGATACAACCAAAGCATCATTGTAAATTTTATTTTATTATAATGTATGTGTATTATGATTCGCAAATATATGCAAAGTTGTTTATAGTTATGTGATTGCCATTATCTCATATTCATTAGCATGTTCTTGCAAACCTTCCTAATAAGGTGCCCTATTAAATATAGTAAATATTAATGGAATATAAATACCTCTGAGAATATAAATACCTATGAGAAAGCTCATAGGTATTATTAATTAATAATCTTATGTTGATGTCTTATTCAAAGATCACAAAGAACAAGATTAGCTCTCTAACAATTCCTTTCTTTTGGATTAATAATTTTTTTCAGTTATAAAGTATTTATTTTGAAGCTCTTGTCTGTCATACCCAATGTATCAATACCAAGTGGGGTAAAACTGCATGGGAAATACTTCCAAGAATCAACAACTGGGACCTCACCTTATTGCAAAGTTTTTGAACACAAAAAAGAAATCACCAAGAGAGTGAAAAGACGATCCACAGATATGGAAAAAATTTTAGCCAATTGTCACTCAGACATAGGACTTCTACCTAGAACATACTGAGGAAAACTGAACTAAAGAAAATCAGACCCCCGCCCCCAAATTCAAAGACTCAACCCAAAAAGGGCACCTGAGATGAATACATACTTCTCACATGAAGAAATACAAATAGCAAATAAATATATGAAAAAGTGTTCAACATCATTGGTCATTCGAGAGATGCAAATTCAAACACTGAGATTTCATCTTACCCCAGAAAAAGTGGCTATCATCAAGAAATCAACCAATAACAAATGCTGGAGGGGCTGTGGGGAGGAAGAACTCTTCTCCACTGTTGGTGGCAGTGCAGACTACTGCAACCACTGTGAAAATCAGTACGGAGATTCCTTAAAAGCTAGGATTAGAGGTCCCATTCAAGCCAGCTATTCCCCATCTGGGTATTTTCCCATAGGAATTAAAAACATCATACCACAGCGATATATATTCACCCATGTTTAGAGCAGCACAACTGGTAATTGCCAAATCCTGGAAACAACTCAAATGCCCATTAACTGAGGAATGGATAAAAAGATACGATATCTTTATACAAGGAGTACTACTCAGCCATAAAGAAGGAGCAAGTTGATTCTTTTATAGGTAAATGGATGCAACTTGAGACCATACTCATTAGTGAAATAAATCAGACTCATGTAAACATTGTATTTTCTCCATGGTGTGAGAAACTTTAGAGTACATAAGGTCTGAAATGTACAGTAGGTACTGTGAAGTGGGAAAAAAATCATTAAAAGGAAAAAGGAAATAGGATGGAGGAAAGGAAAAAAGGAAGTAAGGGAAAAGGGGGGACATGCAAGTTAGTTATATATTAGCATCTCCCTGTTCACAGAAAAGGAAGATCTGCACTAATATCGACTGGAGAATTTTTTATGCTTGTACTCTGAGTAACTACTGTAAAGATAATACTATTCAATGTATTTATTAATTACTGTTATTCTCCTATCATCTTGTTATGAAATTTTGTTCTACCTTTTTTCCATAAAATAAAAAAAAAATAAAATGTGGGGTCAAAATAATAGCAGTGGCAACAAAATTCCTAATAGTATTATTATCCTCCAGTGCCTTCCTGAGTCTTAATGCCTATCATTGATATTAAAGGGATTAACTGAATATCACTTGCGAGGAACTTTTTCTAAAACAGATCATGTCTTGGCATAGACAAAGCCCAATCTATCTGCAAAAATAGAAAATGTTCCCAGGGAAAGACAGGGAGCTACATTAGCTCTGCAACACCGAAGTCATGGCAGATGTTATAAGCAATATTTTCAATGTTTTGGCTCTGGTTCATATTAAGACTACTCCATCTTATCTTTTTTTTTTTTTTTCCCAGCCTGGAGAACTGGGGATTGAACCCAGGGCTTGCTCACGCCAGACAACTGCTCGACCACTGGGCTGTATCTCCAGTCTCAGCCTTACCTGCTTAAATGCCTGTAAAACTTCCGCTCTCTGGCTGAAGTGCTTGAACAGCAGCTGCAGGGCTCCCGACAGCAAAGGAGCGTAGTCGTGCATAATCAGGTGAATGAGGACCCGCAGAAACGTCCTGCCTCCTTCATCGTCAAGTTGGACGGGATTTTTTTCCTTTCTAGAGAAGGAAAAATGGTTACAAAGTAGCACATTGACATAATATCTATATTAAAGTGATTCAAATTACATCTGTTTTCAGAGGTTTGTCCGTTCTTTCCCAAATTAGCGAGTGAAAAGGAAGAACTTTTTACTTTTTTCCCCCTCATGTAACTGATAGGAAACAACCACAAAGAAAAATTTGTGTTTGGTGCTACAGCAGGGATGACTAGCCATTCTAGTTGGTCCAGACTGAAGGAGTTCTAAGGCAACTGGGATCAGCTGGTCATCTATTTGTAGAGAAAAGATAGTCATCTTTCTAATCCAAAAGTTTTTGAAATTTCTATGCATTGTGTTTTTAAAAATTTGTTTATTAGTACATGTTTGTGGTTCATCATGAACATATTCATTGTGGGTAGCAGATGCCTATACTTGACACATCTTATTTTTTCTCTGTGCGTTTTATTTATTTTGTACTGGGAATCGAACTCAGGACCTTGTGCTTGCCAGGCAGGTGCTTGTGCCACTGAGCTATTTCTCTGGCCCTTTTCTGTGCATTCCAGACTCTCACATCCTCCTCTACCCAGTAGCTCACGTAGTAGACATATTGGTTTCATATTCTTGGGTTCATATATAGGACATTTATTTGAAAGTTTGGAGCACTGACTACAAATATCACTCCCACAAAAATCCAGTTTCTTGCAGGAATTTGATATCCCCTCTTTTTATTAGTGTATGTTTATGAAATATGATAACTGCATTCATCTTGGGAAACTGATACATACACATATCGCATCTGAATTATTTTCACTCCTCCTGCCCCCTCCCACCCTTCCATCTCCCTGACCCTCAGATGTCATTCCCATCTCCACATTCCAAAAGCATTTCTGGAGAGCATATCCAATGACTGATTTTCCCCAGGGCCGGTGAGAGCCCCAAGATAGGGGAGAGGGCTGGGGAAGTACAGGCCACACACGCACAACCACCACCGCAGCAGCTCTTTATGTCTGATATAATGGGACTCTGAATAAGATTCCAGTGGAAGACAGGGCCTATCTATAGGCATGTACTGTTTAATGATGGGAATACATTGAAAAACACATGCTTCGGCAATGGTGCGACTGTGTGAACACTACAGAGTACGTTTACGCACACTATATATAGGTAACACACACACATATACAGCCTTTGTATGTGCAGACAGTGTAGCCTACTGCCCCTAAGGCTATGATAAGCAAAAGAACGCAAGCTTAAAACAAGCACAAGGGAAACACTGATCTAACACAGAGTACCGCTTTACAATAAACTCTGCTTTAAATACATGTACCCTCTAAAATAGCGATGAAAAAATATATGCAGACATACACCAGTACCATAGTCATCTTTTATCATCATCAAGTATTATGTCTTGTATGCGATTGTATGTGCCACACTTTAATACAACAGGCAGCAAAGTAGTTTGTTTATACCAGCATCACCAAAAAGGTGAGGAATCCACTGCGCTCTGACAATAGGACAGCTAAGAGGCCACAGTCCATAGGATCTTCCCACTCCATTATAATTTTGTGGGACCAGCATTGTATACAGGGTCCATCACTGACCAAAATATTACACAGCACATGGCTGTATGCTAAGGTAAAATCATGCAAAGTTTCTTTCTTTCTTCCAGATATGATGAAATACTTCAACAGGAAAACACATCAAAAATGTTACTATGATACAAAAACAAACCTACACCAAATATTCACTGAGGATAAAAACCTTTTTTGGGGAGTGCCTTAATTCTTAGTCCTGTTTCTCTAACAAAAAAATAAATAAATAAAATTTTAAAAAAATTTAGTACAGCCATTGTGGACTGTTATGTTTTCTAATGAAATGAACACCAGATTCTCGATAATTTTAGCTTAGCTATTTCACTTTTTTATTTTGATTGCTATTACCTTCATTTCTGGGAAAAAAGATACAACTGCACAACAATAAATGCTAGGACGCCTGACAGCAAAGTAGAGTCGTTCTGCCAAAGGCATCTCATTTTCACTAATCACAGATATTTCCAACTGGCAGAAAATAGCTTTATTTCTCACCTATAAAGTTAATGATAACATTACAAGAAGTTACTTTCTTGCCTCAAATATCTCAGATGCATGGAAGCAGTATTTTACAAGACGCAGTGATGTTTATATCAAGGAAGTTAAAGGGCATGCTGGTGCTGTCATTATTTGAGAAAAGAAAAGCAAAGAATTCAGGGAAAAGTTTAATATGCGGATCTCATCTTGCTTGTCCTTTTTTTTTTTAACCTGACCTAAAGAAAAGCAACACTTTCTCCTCTAGAGCAAATTGGTAGCTCGCTTTCTGGTAAAAATTACATTAGCAACATCGAGGGTCTAAAAATAGATATATGGAGGTGAATAATAACAAAGTAGCAATACAACTATAGTAAAATTTTATTCCCAGGTAAGATAAAGATGCGTAAATGTTACCGTACCTTCCAGCAAACATAGTTTCTGCCTGAGCTGCTATTTCATCTATATCAGGAACAATAGCTGCAAGGAATAAAGGTGAAATCTATTCTTTATCTTAATTAGGAGCCGCAAGATTCATACTAATAGTAGCTTACTTAAAAAATGTTTTGCCGTAATTTCTTTATGCCACCACAGGTCTGTTAATAACTTTTAAAAATTACAATATCATTCTACTTCAACATTAACATTTTAAATTAAGGTTTCCATTTATTTCTTATTCCTTTGGTGCCGGGGGTCGAACACAGGCCCTTGTGAATATTGTGTCTATTTTTTAATGGAAACTGTATTTTAAACTAATGTATTATTGTCATCAAAGGTAGATTTAAAAGACCAGACAGCACCATCTACAAAGGAACCTTTTATCTATGTGAATATATCTACCTCCATTACGTGTGTGTACTATATATGGGGACATACATACATGTAACTTAAACTGGTGATGATATGGTAGGATCATTCTTTTTAAAATCAAAACATACATAAAATGAGCCTTATTGCTGTACAGTATTTTTTTTCTTCCACAGTATTGAGAATTGAACCCAGAGCCACCCTCACTCTAAGATTCATCCCCAGTTCCTTAATCCAGACAAAGTGGTCTTTTTTACCTAAGCTTATTAACTTCTAAAATTCCATCTCTTTTTTTATGTGAAGGGTGTTTTCTTTCTTCTTTATGCAAATAACTCATGTGTCCTCACCGTACCCCACCACTAATATTCTGGGGATGCCTTTTTAAAAATAACATGTTTAAGTGATAAATCTACAATTCATGTCTCAACTCCAAAATACGGAAAGAAAATAGAGCAAGATATGCAAAGCGAAAAGCAGTGCCTCCCTTGCTCTCCGGAAAGATGCCCTTGGAAATACACACAAGGGGAGTGGCCATGCCAATGAGAGAGAATGGGTTGTCTGGGTGCCCCTCGACCTTCCCTCTGGTACTTTACTGACACTCAGAGCTCATGTTTCCAGAAATCTGGCTTCTGGGAGCCAATAATTATGATTCTTCTGTCAATTCAACCGCCAGCACAACTTTCTGGATCTGCCTTCTTGTTCCTGGAAATGGCCCGCTGGGGTTCTATACTTCTGAGAAGCAGAAAAGAGAGATGGTTGCAAAGGTGCCAGTGTGACTGCTCTCAGCGAGCCGGTCCCCGTCTGCTGGGGCCAGACTGCATTTGGGGTTTTGCAAATGATTCAGACACAGGCAGTGAAACATCAGTCCTGAAACATCCATTTTTATCTGCATATCTGCAATCACTGAATCCTTACTGTCAATTGAATGACAGATAAAGAACAGAACAGTTCCTAAGGCTGCCAGTGGTAATGGTATACAGAAAGTTTTGTATCCGTGGACAAGTCCTATCCTCAGAAAAAGAATTCTGTTAACTGGTTAAGTATTTCATGAGGTGGAGTTTCCAGCCTGCCATGGTTGGCCTGGTCTACCCAGAAAAATTGGCAATTTAATTTTTCATTGTCATAAAGTCCTTTCTATACTCACAAAAACTTAACAATCGTTTCTGTGCTCTTTGGTGCTAGGCTCCAAGTCTTGGAGATAGAGTCCCTTCATTCTTACACTTTTAAATGTGAAAAGTGAAATATAATTAAAGTTGATAATCAGGCAAAGTAAAAAAACATTCAAAACCAAACCAACAGGCACCTTCAGGCCTTTGGGGAATACCCCATCATTATTTTCAGTAAGGCGGTGGCTTCCCCACAATTTACCCTCCATTCTGACTATACTTTGATGCAGGCAGAAAAATTTCTCTTGGATTTTTACTAAAAAAGCATCATGCTAAATGGATGCAGAATGGAGCTGCAGGGACCTTGGGAGAGTCCTGACTTTTGGGAAGTAATTTAAGCCTTTTGCCCTTGGTTTTCTCATCTGTACAATGGAACAGTACATACCACCTCTGCCTCACAGAACTGGCAAGATCACAAAACATGAGGAGTTAGCACAAATAACAGCAAATACCTTCTCTGCTATTCCAGGCGAGTTACTTAATCCTCTGAGTTCTCTCACATCATCAGTGGAAATGATATCTACGTTTTTCTCTCATAGAAATACTGTTGTGTTTTTAAGATATGAAGGGCCTTTTCAAGTTCTTAAAAGATAAAATGCAAACAGCAAACACTGTCACCAAGAAGATACCTGAGGGCACCAAAGTGTCTGGGGAGCCATTGGCAGACGTCTCAGTAGCATCACTGTTCTCGCCAAACTCCTTCTTATATATGGACAGCATGTACGAGATCCTGTAATCGAGTCTGACACTCAGGATAAACTGTGAGAAATGACCAAAGCAGAAAAATTTTATAGTCATTAGCACAGTGTTTGAAAATGCAGTTCACAGCCCAACACCAAGAACACAGCCAGCAGCCTTTTGGGTGAACCAGTCACTTTATCCGGGAGCTCTGAGCATTCAGTTGCCCGCACACTTAGCAGTGTTAAGACTGAGGAGTGGGATGCATTTCTGCAAGTCAGTCTTGGTCAAATCCCACAGCAGTTTTTGGGAAAAAGGAAATTTCATTCCCCTCAACTGTTCCCGAATGTTCCAAGTAGAGGCTTTATGAGGGTCAGGATGAGGAGGGAACGGTGACATAATTGGACTAAACACCAAGCAGAGTATTCACTGGGTCCCCAGAGAGAATGCTGGAGCTGTGACCCTCACTCTTACATAAGAAGGCTGAGATTCAGGTATAGCGGAGTTGATTCCATTGGCGTCACAGTCAGTCTTAGAGCTGGGCTATAAGAAAACAGTTGAAACTACCTAGTTCTTGTGTGCCACAGATTTTCCCCATCGGAGGCTTGTGCTGTCGTCAGTATTCTCATTCTTTGATGTAATGACAGAAGCTAAGGAGCTAGTAAGGTTCCAGACTAGCCAGTGCCACAAAAATGAAAATACTTGAAGCCCACTGGCCGCAAGAAACCAAGAACCAAGTTGAGAAAACAAAATACTACATCATTAACATGATAGAGGATGAAACCATGCAACATAAATACCACAGAGATAGCAGATCGGAGAAGAAGTCAGAATTGCTACAGATTAGAGGATTCACATAGCTATCTTCCACCCAGACGGCCTTAGATGGGCCCAATTCAACCTTTGATCTCGGTGTAATTATCAACAGTGTCCCCTACGTGCCAAAAAGGCTCTCATTTGGACAGGAAGCAACATGGCCACTCAAGGCTTAGGTGGTATCATCTACCCTTAGCCCTCGCTACATCTGCCACCCTGTGTCGTATCTACCCCCTCCCCACTTCTGCCCTCATGCTCTCTCAGACATCTCTGTCCCGGGGACACTGGCACACCTGCGATTTCTCTCTGGCACCCCTCACACTGTTCAGAGTCCACTTTTCCTTGACTATTCTTCCCTCCACGCCATAAGAACCATCTTTGAAATATCTTCCATGGTCCAGTCTAAAGTCTTTTGTAAATGAAACTTTGGTTGGTTTCCCAGTCAGAATGGGACAAAACTCCCTCCCTCCCATCCTCTCCCTCTCTCTCTCTCTCTCCCTTCTGCCCCTCCATCTCTCTTTCTTTCTTTCTCCCTTCATTTTGCTAGATATTCGTGCTCTTCTGGGCAGGAAACACACCCCCTATCAGCCGTGTACGGTTAAATTCACCACACCTTTGTTCAGTCAGGTACTGAGGAAGGCGCCAGGGACACAAAAAAGTACCAAAGATGTACTTCCTGCTTTTGAAGAACTCACAGTCCCCAGGGGAAGACAAACACCAAAGAGATTCTTTTATGAGCACATGGTGAGCACGTAGCACATATTGAGTGACATGATCCCAGTAACTAAGGGGATTTTCAGAGCAGGAAAAAGACATGGGAAAGAAGATAGTGAGAAAGCTCTTAGCTTTGGCAGCCTGGAGCAGGCAGGGAGCAAAACTAGGCCGCAGGTGCCCAGCAAGTCAGGCATTTCATTAATGCTCTGCAACAAAGTGAAGAACAAATTATCCAAATGTGAAACATTAATAAAAAACACTGATCACTTTTAATTGAAGGTGAATACTCACAGATTAATTTCACATATATAACCAAAATAAAAACTTTCACTTTCTAATTGTCTAACTAAAAAAAATATAGAAGTTGGAAGAAAAAGAGGAGAGAGAAAAATGAAAACATGAGCAGAGAAAGACTTTAGAGAGGGTCAGATAGATACTCTAGGAGGCTGGGGCAGGACTGCAAGCTTAAACCCAGTCTGAACACGTTAGCAATTTAGTGAAAGCCTGTCTCAAAATTTTAAAAGAAAAAAATTTTCAAAGGGCTAAGGATGTGATTTAGTGAGAAGACATGGGGTCTCCTGAATGAGGGAGAGAGATGGGGTGAGTAGAGAGAAGGGGAGAGGAAGGTAAGAGGGAGGGGAGGGGAAGAAGAGA